TTTAGACTCTATTCATATATAGATATATATTAGAAAATGTATAGATTATAAATGTTTGCAAAAAAACTTGAAATTGAAAAATTAATTTAATTTGATTTTTATTTATATTACATGTGAAATTTTTTTACAAATATTTTTTTTTCTCTCTCTCTCTCTCACTTTGAAAATCAAAATATTTAAAGATATAAATATATATATTTGAAATATAAAAAAACACGTTTTTTAATGTACAAAAAAAAATTATTTTACAGTATTTTACCAGAAATAGCGTTTAAAGGATTTACATTTTTGGTTAGTTAGATAAATACTATATATATATATATATATATATAAAATATAAATATAATTACTAAAATTTGCATTTCATTTTAACAAAAAAAAACAACAACATTTGTTGATTAGGGATAGTAGGAAAATAAAAGGTACAGTAATTGGGTACCGGTAGTATTAAATAGATAATTTTATGGCTAGTTTTTTTTAGTATTATTTAGTATTAATATTATTATAGAAACGCTTATTTTTGTAGTTATTATTATTATTAGTAGTATTTTTTTATTCTGACACTAATTGTGATAAAAACATAAGCCGTCATAAAATAATAATAATCTGTACACTAAATAATAAAAAAATAATAACTTCACAAAAGTGATTATACAATTGAGTAAAAATTTTAAATGATTTTTAATAGCTATTATAATATTAATATATATTATATTATTCACTGAGTATATGATGGACCAGTAGTATAGTAGTAGTAGTAGTAGTAGGTTTGGTTGGACAGGTAGGGTAGCTATAAATACAAGTGTATACAACTATATTGAATGTATATACTATATATGTATATAATGAAACAGCACCTTTATTAAAAAAATGAGGTACTTCCTAAATATACTTTTTTTGTTGTTGTTGGTTGTATGAGTAGTTTATGTATAATAATTATTAAACACTGTGTTAATAATTTATATGTATATTAAGGTGAGAGAAAGATTTATGATTAACTATGATTTAATACACATCTATTTTGTCAAAACATTTTTTTTTTGAATATATATATACAGTATATACATATATGCAATATATTGTATGTATAAAAACTTAACTTAGATATAATATTAATATTATAAAAGCAATTTATATTTCAAGGATTTGTTGTTTAAGTTCAATGAACCGATAGATTGCTATTATATAATATGATATAGTATTTTATATATATATATTGTGATATTTAAAACACAAAAATACTTTTAAACAAATCTTTTTTTTATTAATTATTTTTTTGTGTTCAAATCTTTTGCATAAAATCTATATTAATGTTTAGTACTTTCTCTCTCTCTCTCTCTCTCTCTCTCTCTCTCTCTCTCTCTCTTTCATTTATTGACTTTCTTAATGTTTAACTATTAATGCAAATTAATTTTAAACAACTATTATATAAAATTTACCATATTATTACTATTACTACTATTATTATTATTATTATATGTTTTTAAATACTTATATAGCATTCATTAATTTATTAAACTCATCTCATTTTTAAAAATAAAACACATCATTTGTATTGTTGTTATGTTATATAAAATCTCATAATAATAATTCATTAATTATCTAATGCTGTTTTGATAAATGTTTTTTTGAATATTTTTCATTATTGTTGTTTGCATAATGATTAACGGACACACAATTATATATTAAATTATATATTATAAATAATTAGTGGAAAAGTTTTGTGTAGTTCAACAACAACAAAATCAATGATTACTATTTTATGTTAATAATTAATAGTTGTTGTACAGTATTGTGTAATATATATATATATATATATATATATATATATATATATATATATAATATATATAGAAAATTTAAATGATAATTGAATTTATATATATATATTTGCATATAATCTACAGTATATAAACTATATATATACTTATTGACAGTTTATTGGATGTTGACATGAAAATTATAGAAATTTATTTACAAAATAATAATAATAATAATAGATTAATATCTACATGATATAAATTTATAGATATAAGATAAATAATATGTTTATGAATATTAGTATAAGTAAAAAATTATTAAAATCAATATTTGTGTTAAATTTTTATTTTATTTTTATTGTATGACTTTAAGTATGTGCTGATTGAGAGACATTGAGAGAGAGAGAGAGAGAGAGAGAGAGAGAGAGTAATAGATTGCAATCAATTTTTTGAAAATCAATTCATATTATCGTTGAAAACTTAATTATATATAATATTTAGTTATTTATTTTATTTTTTATTTATTTTCTCTCTCTCTCTCTCTCTCTCTCTCTCTCTCTAAATATATATCTTTCAAATATCAAATCATGTTTTGTTGTTCAATATCATATATATATATATTAAAGTTAGTTGTTATAGTAGTAGTAGTAGGGTTAGTGATACATAAATAAAAGGTGACTACAAAAAAAATAAAAATAAATATAATTTTCACTTTTAAATCAATATTATTGATATATATTATTTAATATTGAATTTAAAAATACATACAACCAATGTTGAAATATAATTTTAATTGAAAAATAAAAATTCATTTCAAAAAAATATCAATTTAGACATTGAATCTAAACGCATACACACACACCATAGTATTAGATATACTATATATATACAGGTATATACTGTATATATATATATATATATCTGTAAATATGATTATGTGTTACCTTATATAATATATTGACTGATAGCATGAAAAAGAGAGGAAAGGGAGAGAGAGAGAGAGCATAGCATGTGGTGTTGAATAGAGAGGAAAGGGTTAAAAACTTTTTTCCTCTCTTTTCAAGACAACTAACTGGTAAATTGAAAGTAAACAACATTTTTAGAGGACTTTCATCTCTCTCTCTCTCTCTCTCTCTCTCTCTCTCTCTCTCTCTCTCTTTCAATCACATGTGTATGTGCTTTAAACTCCCGGTGCTGAGTATTAGTTATTTTATGCGAAATCTTTTCCTTCAATTCTAATGAGTAACTGATAATTCAATGACTTATTTAAAGTAACATTTTTTCTGTCTTAAAGAGAGAGAAAGAGAGAGAGAGAGAGTGCTTAAAAGCAATCATTTATTTAAAATCTTTAAATCATAGATTTATAGAGAGAGTGAGTGTATGTACTAATAATAATAATAATAATAATGTATTAATAATTCAGTATATAATGAAGTGATTCATAATATTCATGTGTTTGCTGTTCAAAAAACCACTTGTCTTATCAATTGTTGGATAAGTTATTAAAGGCTTAACTAATATATCAGACAACTAAAAAACATATATATATGATAAATATAAAAAATATTTAAAGTAAAATACATAAGCATAATAATAATAATAAAAATATTAACCAAAAAAATAAACTCTGTTTGCATTTCAAAACGTTTTGAATTAACAGATCATTAGCCTTAACAGTGATAAGAAAGAGAGAGAGAGAAAGAGAGAGAACTACTAAATAATTTTATTATGCATTTTATATATATATATATAGAAAAATAGTTGCGAAACAATCATAAAACTAATTTGATTATAATTATAAATAATTGAATTTTGAAAAAATGTTATATATATGCAATTTATTTAAATAATTTCAAAAATTTTATTGTATAATATTTGTATTGTTTTAAATATCATGAAAAAAATTTGACATTTGATATTTAACTACATTTGCTATTTAATGCTAAAAATATTTAAGAAATATTTATTTATATATATTATAATATTTTTATATTAAAACAATGACAAATATTTGATTTTTATTAGTATTATTAGTATTATACATATGATTATTACCGGTAAAAGTATTTATAATTTAGTTGTGTATAAATTATTTAATACTATGTAATGTACAGTATTGTATGATATGTATATTAAAAACGGAAATAAATTTTTATAAATAGATATATACGGTATATATATATATACAGTATATTTAAGACTTAGATGTCTAATATGATATAACGTTTCCTCAATATATTGATGGCACGGGAGTGAACTTAATTCATGATAATATTTAGGACCGACGCCCATAACACACACACACACACACACACACACACACACACATACATACATACATACATACATATCTGACATAACAGTGCTATGATTGGCAACTATTGAATATACATATAAATTATACTATTTAATTGTTAAAAATTGTTTTCAATTTATATACTATATTATTATATATTTTATTTCCTATTAAAATGTCAAACCTTTTTTTTTATAATATACTGTATATACAGTATATATCTATATAATATTTTGCATAACAATGCCATCAAAAATGCAGTACAAAAATTTATTACAATTTATTTTTTGATATATTTAACATAAATTTTTGATGTTTCATGCAATATATAAATATTGATAATATAATGCCTAAATAATAATCTAATTTATTTTAACTAATAACTGTAATTATCATTTAGAGAAAGAAAGAAAGAGAGAGAGAGATAAATATAAACAAATAAATAGTAATTTAAATAAATTATTTGTTAAACTAATGATTGATAAAATATATATCAATGTATATTTGGCAATATATGGCATAATATATTGCATTTATTATTCAAACGTTAATTAAAAATACCTAATTGTGTTTATGTCTACTATAATTATACTATATATTAATCTATAATATATAATTGAATACATTTGAATATAATTATATATAGATATATATTAAAAATAAAATCAATATTGTATAATACAACAGTATAATTACAAAATTTTTTTTTTTGTTAAATTCAAGTATTAGTAATATATTTTACTTATAATATGTTATTATTTAAATTTTTTTATTCAGTCAAACAAATGATTAGGCATAAAACTAATGATCAAACAAACTGTTTATTAAATTTTTGGTTTATTTATTTTATTTTTTTTGCAGTGTTGCTATTTGCATAACCATTGGTGGTGGTGGTGGTAGTTGTGGCCAACCATACCTAATATACAGTATATACAGTAGACACATTTTTTAAAGGACACATACAAATCACATTACCCCCAGCACTACCCTATCGTCTCGACTGTATATTTAAGTGCAATACCGGTAGACTTTTGACTATTTTTTTCTCTGGTGGTACTGGTGTTTACCTTATGGACGGATAGTTTGTGGTTAAACGACCCTTTTATCTGTGTGTTTGGCTGTCTGTCTGTCTATTTATTTGATGGTAAGTCTCACTCTTGCTTATGAAATATAAATAATAATCATAAAAAACAACAATAACTACTACTACACCTAATCATACATTCAATTACTGGCTATTTATTTATTATTATAATATATTATTTATTTTTATTGAAGAAAATTTTTTTGTTTTTCATATTTTATTTTCAATTTTGTTTTCATTATTTATACTAATATAATGTGATTTTTTGTTTGTTTGTATTTTGTTTGTTGTTGTTTGCCAACTATATATATAATAATATAAGTGTTTTTTACATTACTATTTTAACACCAAAAAAATCACATATAAAAATATTATTGTAAGTAACAGACAATAAATAGTTTTAAGGTTTTAGGTTTTGTTATTTTGTTTAAAAGTAATAAAAATATTTATTTTTTACAAAAAAAAATAAAATAAATAAAATATTTAATTTTCAAGAAAATTGTTTTATGAAAAATGCTTTTAAAAATTACTCATATATTTTTTAAAAATTATTATTATTATTATTAGCATAAATAATCATTAGTTTACAATTTTAATAGTAAATGTTTGGCAATTGATTTTAATGACTTTCTTTCGCACCGTTAGTGTATTAACTATTTATTTGTCAACTAATAAAAAACATATACTGTATAAAAAAATTATTTTACTAAACTTATTTTATTAGTAAACTGAAAATAAATGTTGAGAAAAAAAATTAATATAATTTAAATAATGTACTAAATATACTACACTATAAACACTTTTAAGTATAGTTTGTAAATACATTACCATTATATTTGGTTTTGATAACTACAATCATTGGCTACAAACTCATCATTGCATTTCAAAAGTTATAATTAAACGTATAAATAAATATTAATATTAAATTTTATAACATTTAGAGAGAGAGAGAGAGAGAGAGAGAGAGAGAGAGTCAATAAAAATGTTAAATATAATTATATTGACGAGACTTTTCTAATGTCTCTCAGAAAATATCCTAAACTTTTATTTCGCTCATTTGCTAACAAACAAATTGCTATAACTTTTTCAACTTAATGTATATAAATATTTAAAGTTTTTATATATTTTTTTTTTAGTTTGATATGAAGATAAACTTTTAATTTACTAGACATTAGCATCACATTTGCTAGATTTTATACTTAATTTTTTTTTATAAATAAAAATATTGATTTTTAATTTTCTATAAAAAGAAGTGTGAAAAATTGACTTTAATTTTACGCTACGTTAGTATCTCATATTATAAACAGTATATATATATATTGTATATAAGGTATAAATTTACACTAAACTCTAATTATTATAATGCAAAAAAAAATTTAGTCAATATTTTTCAATTTAATTTTTACAAAATATATAGTAATTTTCAAATAGTTTCATAAACTAAAATTTGTTATATTAATACATATAAAAAGTGTTGTTAAATATATACAAATATAACACAAATAACAAAATAAATTATATAATATTTTTTTTAAAAAATACATATAACATACAAATGTTTTATTTTTTTATTACTATTTGACTTTGAATTTGTTGCTTAAAACATGCAAATAATTGTTACAAAATATTTGGTGTCTATGTTGTTGTGTATCTAAAAAACATTATTTAAAATTATTTTGTTTGTTTGAATTTATTTATCAACTCATTTTTCATGCTATCATATCATATGGTAATGTATTTGTTAGACACAATCGGTATCACACATACCAGTGATCTCGACACACACACACACATTACCAGTGATGCAAAACAGTAAACCCCTGAAAACAATATTACAACTCAATTCTCCGGGTATTTGCTTTAAACATAAGACAACAAAAAAGAAAATATACATTAATATAACATAAAACATGATTTTAAATATATATTTATTTATTTTTATGTTATGTTACAGAATATTCTCATTTTTTGGTTGTTGTTGTTGTTGTCATGCAATATGTGATTACAGAATATATTTTGTTTTTTGGCTTATGTTTTGTTGTTTGTGTTGTTTTATGTTAAACACTGTATAGTATTTCAGAATCACTTTATAAAATTGAAATTTTTGTTGTTGAAAAAAATGTTTTTTAAAACTAATACATATATGTATGAAAATCAAAAAAATATTGTGTAAGTTATACTGCATAAAAGTTTATAATATTAAAATCGGTCGCACTCATAAGATCTAAACTCATTTGACCCAAACTTATTTGACCCAAATCATTTGACCCAAACTTACTTGACCCAACTCATTTGACCCAAACTCATATGACCCAAATCACTTGACCCAAACTTATTTGACCCAAATCACTTAACCCAAATCACTTGACCCAAATCATTTGATCTAAATCATTTGACCCAAATTACTTGACCCAAATCATTTGACCCAAACTTATTTGACCCAAATATTATTTTATTTTTTCAAACTATATAATATATATAAATGATACAAAAATTAATAAAATAATAATCTAAATAGTTATAAAATTTAGAACTTATTAATATTTATTTACTGTAAATAGTATTACATATTAATTTTTAAAAATATTATATAAAAAGCCAGAGATATTACCAATTGGTTAAAAAATGAATATGGAATAAATATTAATGTTCTAAATTTTCTAACTATTAAGTTTTGTATCATTTATATATATTATATAGTTTGAAAAAATAAAATAATATTTGGGTCAAATAAGTTTGGGTCAAATGATTTGGGTCAAGTAATTTGGGTCAAATGATTTAGATCAAATGATTTGGGTCAAGTGATTTGGGTTAAGTGATTTGGGTCAAATAAGTTTGGGTCAAGTGATTTGGGTCATATGAGTTTGGGTCAAATGAGTTGGGTCAAGTAAGTTTGGTTCTAATGATTTGGGTCAAATAAGTTTGGGTCAAATGAGTTTAGATCTTATGAACTAGACCCTATTAAAATATATCGCTTATAATAAATTTTTGGTTTTATTTAATATATTAATTTTTATAAAATGTTTTTATTTTCATCAAAATAAGTTAGTTTTTTTCTATTTTCTCTTATATATATATATATGTCTAAAATATTTATTTATTTAGATAACAATATTCCCCCAAAAAAAAATCTAATAAAATTGCAATTATTACTACACATTATATTTCTAACAAATATATGTTATATAATATTATTAAATGTTATGGTTTGGCAATGAAAACACAAGTGAATTATGAGATTATATCGTAATATATATATATACAGTATAATATATATACAATGTACAGTATATACAGTATAATAATAATGATTGCCTATATTTTTATTTTTGGTGGCAATCCAATGACCCGTTTTTGGTCATTTATTATAATCATATATATCATATATATTATATAATATCACAATTGTGTTACACACTTACATCAATACAATGGGTTGGTTAGGTTGGCGGCTACAACAAACTTAAAAGCAAACAAATGTTTCATAATATACAGTATATATATATATATATATATATATATATCAATAAATTTATTATTAGAAATTATACCGGCGTATCATTGTATGTATTATTATAGCATAAAGTTATAGACCCGACAAATGAGAGAGAAAGTGATAGATATACAGTATATTGTGTATAACAACAACAACAGCAAAAAATAGTAAAATTAATGATTTATTAAAAAGCTTTCAGTATTTAAACATATTCTATGTATAGAGAGATATATAAAATTTATATCAATAGATGAGTATAATAATGATAATAATAATAATAAAAGATATAAATTTTAAAATTTATAACTTCATAGCTATGGCTATAGCTGTTGCTATGAATGTGATATCACAATAGGTTAAAGACCATAAAATTTCAATATAATTGTATTGTACAGTATATTCAATATTATATATATATGATATAATAGATAAATGTATTTTGATTGTTAAGCATCTCTTTCTCTCTCTCTCTCTCTCTCTCTCTCTCTCTCTCTCTTATCTGTGAAATAAATAATAATAATAATAACATGTATGATATGATAGGGAAAGTTAACCAACGAAAAAAAAATTCAGAGATAAATAACTAAAGTATTAGCAGAATATATATATATATATAATATAAAGTATATATCGTAAGTGATGGAGCAAATGGTTTATCGCTATGGGTATTAAGCATGGGTCTAGTTCATAAGATCTAAACTCATTTGACCCAAACTTATTTGACCCAACTCATTTGATCTAAACTTATTTGACCCAACTCATTTGACCCAAACTCATTTGACCCAAATCACTTGACCCAAACTTATTTGACCCAACTCATTTGACCCAAATCACTTGACCCAACTCATTTGACCCAACTCATTTGACCCAAATCACTTTACCCAAATCATTTGACCCAAACTTATTTAACCTAAATATTTATTATTTTATTTTTCAAACTATATAATTATATATAAATAATACAAACTTAATAATTGGAAATATTTCTGTTTTTTTATTTTTTTTAAAATAAATATGTAATAACTTAATATTATTAAGTTCTAAATTATTTTATAGATTAAATAGATTATTATATTATTTATATAGTTAATTAAATAAAATTATTAAGTTTTATATTATTTATATATAATTATAGTTTGAAAAAATAAAATAATAAATATTTGGGTCAAATAAGTTTGGGTTAAATGATTTAGATCAAGTGATTTGGGTCAAATGAGTTGGGTCAAATGATTTGTGTCAAATGATTTGGGTCAAGTGATTTGGGTCAAATAAGTTTGGGTCAAGTGATTTGGGTCAAATAAGTTTGGATCAAATGAGTTGGGTCAAATGAGTTTGGATCAAATGAGTTGGGTCAAGTAAGTTTGGGTCAAATGAGTTTAGATCTTATGAGTGCGACCGATTAAGCATATATATATACAGTAAATTTATATATATAGACAACATATAATATTAGATATACACACATATATTTAAGTTATAAATATTTGGCATAACATATATCTAACAAAATAACGATTCTTATCACACATTACTTACACACACACACACACACACACACATACCG